CCTTCATACTGTTTCCATAGTGGCTGTACCAATTTCACATTCCCACTAACAGTGTAGAAGAAGTCCCTTTCTTCCACATCTTTCTAGCATTTGTTACTTATAAATTTTTTAATGATGGCCCTGCTGACTGGTGTGAGGTGATACCTTACTGTAATTTTGATTTGCAGTTCTTCATTTGTGGGGGGCCATGACACACAGCATGCAGGATCTTAGTTCCTTACCAGGGATCAAACACGTGCCCCCTGCAGTGGAAGCACAGAGTCCTAACCACTGGACTGTCAGGGAATTCCCTGCATTTCTCTAATAATTACCAGTATTGAGCATCTACCAATGTTGAGCATCTTTTCATGTGACTACTGGCCATCTGTATCTTCTTTAAAGATTTGTCTATTTAGGTCTTTTGCCCACTTTTTGGATTATTTGGGTTATTTTGATACTGAGTTGTATGAGCTATTTGTATATTTTGGAATTTAAGCCCTTGTTGGTCACATCATTTCCAAACATTTTTTCACAGTCTGTAGTTTGTCTTGTTTATAGTTTCCTTTGCTGTACTGAAGCTTGTAAGTTTGATTAGGTCTCATTTGTTTATTTTTGCTTTTATTCCTATTTCCTTGAGAAATGTTTTGCCTATGTTCCTTTTTAGTTTTATGGTGTCATGTTTTATATTTAAGTCTTTAGGCCATTTAGAGTTTATTTTTGCGTATGGTATGAGGGAGTGTTCTAACTTCATTCATTTACTTGCGGCAGTACAGCTTTCCGAGCACCACTTGGTGAAGAGACTCTTTTCTCCATTGTATGTTTTTGCCTCCTTTGTTAATTGACTGTGGGTGAGTGGGCCTGTTTTTTTGTTTTTTAACTAATAGTCATCATCCTTTGGGAGGATACTTTGAGACTATATAAATATCCAATCACTCATCAATTTTTACCTTTTAGCATCCATTGATAATCCTTGCCTTAATCAATTATCTGATTATCAAATTATTCTATAATTTCTTCTTCTACATTTATTAAGAGCTTTCCCTTGTCCATTATATGTCTGTGAATTCTTATTTTATAAAATGCATTATAATTCATTATTTTTTAAGTGCATTATAATTTGATGTTCAACTCGCCTGGATTTGTTCAGGGGATTCCCTCAATCTGGATTTTAATTCAAGCTGTGGTTCAGGGCACGTGCCCTTCCTCTCTTTGGCCCTAATTTTCTCATCTGTAGGGTAAAGTTAAGAACCTTGGGTTACAGGGGCGAGTGAATGAAATGCACTCAGGTTCCCAAATCTTCTTGGCCAGGATAAAGTATCATCAGGGCTGGCAGAACCCCAAGAGGCCCAGTATTTTATGGTATTTTTTGCCTTTCTTCTCTAGGCATCCAGGGCATTGTGGATGCCTACCGCCAGGCCCTGCCCCAAGTTCGGCTCTATGGTCCCACCAACTTTGCACCCATCATCAACCATGTGGCTAGGTTTGCAGCCCAGGCTGCAAATCAGAGGAATGCTTCGGTAAGGGTCATGGGAGGTAGTGGGCGAGGAAGGGGGGTGCTCCCTTGAGGACTGTTTAACAAGAGACTTCTTGTCATTGTGGGAATGTGTGGCTGGGATGTTTAGATGGCCTGCCTAAGTATATGAATGGACTTGCCTTTAGCAATACTTCGTGCTGTTGCTGCTGACCGATGGTGCTGTGACAGATGTGGAGGCCACACGTGAGGCTGTGGTTCGTGCCTCCTACCTGCCCATGTCGGTGATCATCGTGGGTGTGGGTTGTGCTGACTTCGAGGCCATGGAGCAGCTGGACGCTGATGGTGGACCCCTGCACACACGCTCCGGGGAGGCAGCTGCTCGTGACATAGTGCAGTTTGTGCCCTACCGCCGTTTCCAGAATGTGAGTAGGGGCAAGCTTGGGGACAGAACAGAGCTGGGAGTTCAGCTTCACCCGAGCCTGGGGCAGGGTTAGGTGTTGGATTCTGTATCCTTTCTTGGGTGTGAAATGTCAGCCTTGTACAAATGAAGCCATTATGGCCCATCACTGAACTTGCCCCTCTTCTCTGGCAGGCCCCTCGAGAGGCACTGGCGCAGACTGTACTTGCAGAAGTACCCACGCAACTGGTCTCCTACTTCAGGGCACAAGGTTGGGCTCCATTCAAGCCACCTCCACCTGCAGCCAAGGGCCCTGCACAGGCCCCCCAGGCCTAGATTCCCTTGAAGAGGTCGACCTCCATGTTCCTAAGGTCACCAGCCCTGAACACACACATTCCCTAGTGCTTGCACTTTATGTTTTATACTTTTATACTTAATCCTGCTGTTGCTGCCCTTGATCTCACCTGCTTGCTCCTGGAATCCCTCATTCAATAAAGATGAATTTTGCTACTACTCTGTGTTTTAGGTGGGAATCTGCTATTAGCCATGGTTAGTTCTCCTCTCTCAACTTACTTGTTGACTTTAGGGGTTATTGAGTGAAGGAGTCTCTGATATAATAGCCCCCACTCAAAGAAATTGGGTATTCCTGGCCAGATATCTAGAGACACTGACTCTGTTTTGGAAAATGCAAAAACTGAGTATAATCCAAACACCCTGCTTCAGAGCAGAGCTGAGCTGGGAACACAGACAAGGTGGAAAGTGTTAGGGGAGGGGATCAAGGGCTATGCCTAACTCCCTGGAAGGTGGAGCAGTGGTAGTTCTAGTCCTAAAAATAGGCTGCAAGCCTCACTTTTTCTAATAGCTATTTTTTTTCCTTACAAGAAAATTAATATGTATATTCATTATAGGGAAAAATACTACCCAAATTCCCATGTCCCATTAAAATATTTGATGCATATTTTTTAATACTTTATACATGTTTACAGTGATGCATATTTTTTATTTTACAGAATTGGGACCATATTGTATGTACTGTTTTAGTATGCTTTAAATGTTTTTTAAATGTATGCTAGTTAGTACAAAATTATTTCAAATGTATGAGGTAGATAATGGGCAGGGTGTATTTCCTATGTCTGACAATTTTTTTCCTCTAAATAGATTACTACACTGTTTGCACTTTGTTTTATTGTATTTTGGGTATTTTATCCATTAGAATTTATTACTGACTTCATTTTTTTTTAATGCCTATAGATTACTCTGTGTATGAGTGTATTATAGCTTACTTAGCCAATCCCTAATTTATCAAGATTTGGTTCCCTTCTGGTTTTCTTCTGTTACAACAAACAATGCTGTAAGGAATATCCTAATACATTTATCTCTGCATTTATATAGTAATGTTTCTGAAAAATTTCTGACAAGTGAAAATGTTCAATCAAAAGATACGAATACTTAATATTTTAATATACTGTAAATTGCATTTCATAACAATTTTTTACCCATTTCATTAATCTGACAGGCAAAAAACCCCTCAGTTTTAGTTGAATTTATTGAATTATGAAGGCTAGGTATCATTTTATATGTTCATTTGTCAATTGTATTTCTTATGACTAGCTTTTTTATAGGTTGTTGTTGTCCTTTACAGCCTTTATTGTTACAGTTATTCAGTTATCCACCCTTAATCTCTTAAACATGTTAAAAATATTTCCTCCCAGGCTATTATCTTTTCAGTTATAATGTCTTTTGGTCTATGTAACTCTTTTGATATGGAAATTTAAAAGTTTTATTTATGTCAGCTTAGCTTGCTTTTGTGTATGTGTGTATGTAACCTAGCTTTTTTTAAAAAATTAATCTATGTATTATTACTTACTTTTCATGACATTAGTCTCTTATATTACCATTTCTATTGGCTACATATTATTTTTGTGGTGTACTTTATCTTCTTAGATACTATTTCCATGTTTTCTTTTATAAACAACAGTGTAATCGACATCTTTAAAGTAGTAATTTAGATTATATCTGTGTATCCTTTGGATCCATTCTTAGAAATGGAATTGCTGTGATTAAAAAGTATAAAAAAGTTAAGACTTTTCAGCACCTATAGTGAAAATGCCCTCCAGAAAAACTGTATTAGTTCATTAGTTACAAAACTTCAGACTTTAAGAGTACTCAATAGATTCTTTTCCCTCTGTCTTCAAATTACAAAAGTTATAACCCCCAAATTTAAATAGATGGATACATGTTTCATCCTCACACATACTCTTGCATTCCACTTTCTAGAGGTATAACACTGTTCATAGTCTGTAGATTCTTCCAAAACATGAACACACTGGAAAGGATCCTAACAGTCAAGATGTTGCATGTGTTTCTTTGACACTTTTCCCCCTTTTCGAGCTCTCTGCCCAGGTAGAACTCATTAATCCTTTGATGTCCATCTCCTCTGTCTTTTTCCCTCCAATTCTACTTTTGACCCTTGGAATGAAGAGTTCTTGGATCAATAAAAGAATTGTCCCATTTTCTGGAGCGTCTTCTCTTCCCTGTCAGGCTCCTGGAGGGCAGGGACTGGTCAACACTCTACCACCTATATTGTTCCTAGCATAATTGAACACTCAAGTTTTAGTGAAAACAACCTGAGTAGGGACAGTCAGGCCGGCATCATTTCTGACTCATGCCCCCTGCAGGTGCTCAAGTCTCCCTAAGATTTTACCTGAAAAAAGGGAAGTTCTGCCTTCACCTGCACCCAGCAAGAGTTGGGATGAGAAGTGAGGGGCACAGCACGGCTTCATGCCGACTGGTAGCTCTACAAGAAGGCACCCTCTAGAGAAAGGTAGGTTCAGGGTCCCACTGTGGCTCAGCTCCTCACTAGCCGTGTGACCTTGCAACTTTCCTGATCTGAGCCGTTTCTCACTCTGGTTGTAAAGATTATTTAGAGAAGGCATATAACATCCAGAGTACTGTCTTAGGTGCATGGTAACCACTCCATACACATGAGCCTCTGCTGTTAACTCTACTGATCTGGGCTTCTCCAAGAAGGCACTTTGACAGATGCCCCCCCACCATATTTATGTACAAAAGGCAACTAGAGTGCCAGCCTCCCTGCCCACAACAGACCTCCCAGCACTGATCCAGCTTCTTTCAGACAGACTTCCACTCTACTCCAACAATCAGCACGTTTAATGGGTGTCCCCTGTGGCACTGTCCCCTGCCCCCTCTGAGGTTCGAATACCATGGGCTCGGACTCGATACAAGCACGTGAAACGGGGGTGGCCCCAGTTGCTTAGAATCTGGATCTTCACCTTGGGAAAGGCAGCTGGGGGTTCATTCTGGAGAGACAAATGGATGATGACAATGTCTGCTCTCCCAAGGGCTGCCTTCCTCCCCAACCTTCCCTCACTGTCCCATTCTCTTAGACCCCTCACCTCCCAGAGGCCAACATACCTGTAGGTGGAAAGTCTGAATCTCAGATTTCTCCACGTTGAAAGTAAATTTCCCCAAGAAGATCTCAGTTTCGTCATCAACTTGGAGGCCCTGGTAAGTGAAGAAGGAGTGGAGGAACAGAGACACAGGTGGAGGTGGAGGTGTTGAGAACCTACTATGTGTTCCATAGTTGTATACACACTCTCATTTATTGTTCGGTGTTAGGACGATAGAGTGTGGAATCTGGGCTCAAAGAAATCAAGTTGCAAATTTAAGCCTGACCACTTGTTAGCTGTGTGACCTTGGGCAAGTTACCTCCCCTATCTGAGCATTACTTTTTCTTGTCTGTTAAGGGGGGAGATAATAGCACTTCATAGATTGTTGTGTGGATGCAAGGATATATAATCCATGTAAAGATTAAAGGACTCAAAACAGATTAAGGACTCAATAAACCATAACCAATATTTGAATATGGTAGTTATTTAAGGCCTATGGCAACCCTGAGAGGCATCCATTTTATGGATGAGCAAGCGAAGACTCAGTAGCCCCAGTTTTCATGTCTGCCTTGTGCTCTGTAGGAAAATCCCCCACCTCCTTGGCTTCAGCCCCACTTACATAGACTGCAAAATCACGGGGGGCGCTGTTAGCTCCCCGGGTGTGTGCCACAGTGGGCGGTGGATGCTGCAGAGTGATGTCGCTCAGCTGCACACGACCCGGCAACCTGATCACCACCTGGCCCTGGTCACCCTCAAAAGCCCAGCAGTTTCCAGGGAACACATCTGGCTGCAGGGGAGTGGACAGATCTTCAGAACCACAGGACTGAGCAACTGTGGCCTTTCCCCAGCCTCCTTGGGCATTGGTTCTGGTAGGCCCTTCCATCAGCTTGACCCTATCAAGGGCCCACCCAGAACTCCACCCAGGACTCTAGTCCCTAGCAGTGCCAGAAAGTGTTAGTTGCTCAGTCGGGTCCGACTCTTTGTGACCCCATGGAGTAGCCAGCCGGGCTCCTCTGTCCATGGAATTCTCCGGGCAAGAAAATGAGTGGGTAGCCATTCCCTTCTCCACGGGATCGTCCTGACCCAGGGATTGAACCCAGCATTGCAGGCAGATTCCTCACTGTCTGAGCCACCAGGGAAGCACTGCCAGGTCTCCAGTATTATGTTGTCCTCCACCTCACCCAGAGCCTCACTCCAGGCAAGCCAGGCCCGCCTCTAGGCGGCCAAATTATGCCCAGTAGGGTCCCCCTGGCGCCATGCCCTCAGCTAAGTCAGGTCCAACCCCAGGAAGCTGTGGGATCCTTTCTCCAGAATCCGCCCCTGGTTCCCTTCTGGGATCTAGGTTCCAGGCCCACCTCCAGGATAACCGTGGGCGGTCGCGCGTAGTTCCAGAAGCTGAAGCGATTCCAGAAGTAGGCAGTGTTCGCATCCTCATAGTCCTGGGATGTCTTCTCTAGGTCGATGGAGGCTCCTGGAGCAGGGAGAAGCAACTAGTCAGAGGCTCCCAGGCCAGACCCACAGCGAGGGCAGTGTCCATCTGAGGTCGGTCTGTCTGGGCCGATCTTGTACATAGTTCTGTCTGAGACTGAGTCTCAGTCTCTCTCTGGGTCTTACCGACAGAACTCAGCGCATAGTCAGGTTTCCGCACAAAGTCCTCACTCAGCCTCTGGAATACGAGTTGGGCCACTCTCTGAAAAGAGAGAGGGCGGAGCCTTGAGGGGCGGGGCTTGCGGGCAGGATTTATACTGGGGCGGAGTTCTCGGGGCGGGGGCGGGGGGGCTCAGGTCCGGGCCCTTAAGACTCAGGGCGGAGGGAGCAAGGCTCCAAGGTGGGCGGGGACTGAACGATGGGCGGGGCCACTGGGCCAGGCTCCCAGCGGCCAAGCTCCTGGACCGGGTTCTGAGAGCAGGCTGCATCTACGGGACTCACCTCGCTGTTGGCGGCGCGAACGCTGGACATCTCCGTGTGGAGTTTAACCAGTTCAGCCTGGAGCTTCTGCAGCTGCTGCCCCTGGGAGCGCACGCGCTCGTGGTATTCGCTGCAGGCAGAAGGTTGGCACGCTGCAGTTGGCTCCCTGTCCCCCTGGCCACTTCCCGTAGGATCTCCCCACCACAACAGAAGCACCTTTGAGGCCCCCAGCTCCCCACCCCAGTGCCCTCTTTCACCTTAGAGTCAGCATCTCCTTAGGTTCCTATTGGAGGGAGGAGGGAGAGACAAAAAACAGCGCTGCTTAGCTCCCACCTCAGTGTGGGAGTGGCCAGATATAAAGGGCCTTCTCTCTGAGGACTGCCTACCCCCTTTTTCCTGACCTTACAGCATCTCTCCAAGACAGAACCTCACGCACCTCTGGACACAATCCCCCAGAAATCTCCTGTTTATAGCCAGCCTTTCATTAGGGTGATAGCCTCCAGCACTGCCTCCCTCCCCAGTGGCCCGGAGGACTCCCCACAACCTCCAGGTTTATAGCCTGCCAACCAGCCAACCCCAGGAGTCTCCCCGACTCACATTTTCCAAAGGAGGGGCGAGGTACAGGAGCCCCCACCAGAGTGCTGGAGAAAGAAGGAGTGGTCTCAGGGGAAGGGAAGGGAAGGGAAGGGAGGAGGTTTCTCAGGTGAAAAGGTGACAGTGGGGGGAAAGGGGCTTGAAGGAGCTCAGTTTGAGGAGGGAAGGCTCTGAAGGGGACTGTGAGGAACTGTGAGCCTCTGAAGGGACTGAGTGGGCTGAAGGATATAAGACAAAGTGTAGCAGGTTTGGCTTCAAAGCATCCAGGGCTGGGGCCCTGGGAACAGATCACCCTCTCACCTGCCAGAAAGAAGCTCAGCAGTGACACAGCCGTGAGCAGGAAGCGGATGGAACAGACCTCCCTGAGGAACCGAAGGGAGGCTGAGGCCTGGAGACCCCAGAGAATCCCCAGCCCCCACCCCAGGGTCCTAGACCCAGCTCCTGTGAACACAGGTATGAATTGGCTCAAGCCTCAGCCGGGTCTGGCCCTGCTCCCCACCCCCTCCAAAGAGCAGCCCCTGGGGCTCCCCCTTCCCTCCCTCTGACCTGTACACACTGACCAGCACCTCTCCTACCAGGGATAACAACATGCTCAGCACCTGGAAGAGTAGGCCTGAGGAGAAGAAAGGGGGCTCAGAGAAGGGACTAGGCTTAGGGAGGGAAAGAGATGGGGGGAGGGGCTCACAGAGTGGTGTTGGAGGTTCAGAAAAACCTAGGAAGGGGCCTCAGGAAGAGAGCGATGCGCTAGGAGACTTAGATGGGGACAAGGAGAATGGATTCTCATTCTTAGAGAAGGTGAGTCGGGCTCAGGGAAGAGGCTGGACAATCAGACATGGGCCGGGGGCTCAGAACTGAAAACAGGGCCTCAGAGGTGAGAAATGGAGTTCGGAGGGGGGAGCCAGAGGGGTCAGAGGGGATCTGGGCTGGCTTGGCCCGTACTCAGGAAGCTCTTGGACACGTGCGGGGGAGGCATCTCCTGCCTCAGATCCAGAGTCGGGAGAAGGTCGAGCTGCTCCTCAGAGACTGCGGGAGAGCCAGGCGGTTCTGCGAGAGCCAAGGGCTCCATTGGGGCCTTGTGTACCGCAGGCCCACTGTTTCCCCAGGACCTGGCTGCAGGTTCCCTTAGCCCAGAAGCAGGGCAGCCTCACAGGCTTTGGTCGCACAGAATCCACAACCCTGGGCTCCTGCAGCACTCTGAGGCCCCGCTCCCCACCCCGGGAGGCTCGTTCTAGTCGTTGTACCACCCCCACCCCCCGCCAAACGGCGGTGCCGCCCCCAGCCTTAGGTCTTGATACGGGCCTATTTGTCGGGTAGCCGCTGGTGCTAACAACCGAGGCCACGCCTCCTCGGCGGTGCCCAATCACAAACTTTTCCCCGCCCCTTCCCAGGACCATCCACCTCACTGAGACCGTCTTATTCTTTGCCTACTCTTTTTTTTCCTTCAGGCCCCGCCCCCTAGGAGGTGCCCAGATAGTTTTATCCCGCTTCCGCGCCAAACCCCACCCCTTAGGCCCGACCCCTTCCCTCCGCTCACCCGGGTTCGACCCCGCCCGCACCCGAGGCCCCGCCCCTCACGGTTGCCGCGCCACAGGCGGTCTGCCAATTGTGGCTCCGAGGCGCCGGCTTCTGCCGAGAGCTTCCAGCCCTTGTGGTTCCTCCGGGCACTCCAGCGCTCAAGGCGGGCTCACCGCAGCTCGAGCCCCGGGCTCGTCTGCCCTCGGGCTCCCCGGGCCCCGGCCCAGCTGACCGGTGCCCGCAGCTGTCCCCCGAGGTGACGCTCACAGAGCTGTTGCTGTTGTCGCTGTAGAAGTTGGGCGTGTGCTTGTGCTGGGACGCGGCAGAACCCGGGCGGGGGCTTCGCCGCATCCTGACCCGGGGCTGTGGCCTTCCGACGCCAAAGGCACCGTCGCGGCCTCCAAGGCCCTCGGCCCTCCTTCAGCTGGTGCGCGCCGCCCGGACCCCTCGACCCTGCGTGCAGCCGGCGGGCCCCGTGGCCTGCCGCAGCCCTCTCCTCTGTAACTGGGCCTGGCTGCTGACTGCATAGAGGAGACTACCGTCTCCGTGGAATGCCCTGGCCGGCGTCACAGAGCCAGTCGTGACGTCCCTGGGAGCCTTGGCAGTCTCCCTTATTCTTTCCCAAGTTAAAGCACGCAATGACATTACAGCATTTCCCAAAACACCCTGTCTAAAACTAGTGCTTAACATGAAAGAATTTGTCCCCCTTCCTGCTTTGTTTTTCCCCTTAGCACTTGGGTGTTTTATTTCATTCTTCATTACGTGTCACTCCCAGTAGAGCAGTAAGCTTTATGAAGGCAGAGATTTTTCTTGTGTTCACTACTGTATCTTTCAGCACCTCGATAGATAGTTTCTATCTAGCATGTAGTGTTGTTCAGTGGGTCAGTCGCTCAGTCGTGTCTGACTCTTTGTGACCCCATGGAATGTAGCATGTGGTAGGTGCTCATGTATCTATGAAGGAATAGATGTTAAGAAGGGGCAAGGGATCACCCCCATGTGGCACTTCTCAATAGTCTTTTTAGTCTCTTTTGCTCTAAAAACGCTTCAGGCTCCTCCTCCTCTCATCCTAGTCATCAGGTCAGAAAACTCTGACCTCAGGGATCTGTGATCTCTTCTGGGTGGGGAATTCAGTACCCCTCAATCACCATATCTTTTCTTTTATACAATTGATGCCTTCAAACTGTGGTGCTGAAGACTCCTGAAAGTCCCGAGGACAGCAAGGAGATCAAACCAGTCAATCTTAAGGGAAATCAACCCTAAATACTTGTTGGAAAAACTGATGCTGAAGCTGAAGCTCCAGTATTTTGGTCATCTGATTCAAACAGCGGTCTCATTGGAAAAGTCCTTGATGCTGGGAAAGATTGAGGGCAGAAGGAGAAGAGGGCGTCAGAAGATGAGATGGCTGGATGGCATCACCGATGCAATGGACAAGAACTTGGCAAATTTCGGGAGATGGTGAAGGACATGGAGGTCTGGCATGCTGCAGTCCATGGGGTTGCACAGAGTTGGACACGACTGGGTGACTAAACAACAACAACAGTATCCATACGGACACGCAGACCATCTGAGTCACCTAGAACAGAAAGGAATCACACTTAGTCACAGTCAAGAGACCAAATGTTCCCAAATTCCTGCTGTGTAGCAGAGTAGTACCAAAGTGGCTTCTGGAATTCAGGTCCCAGCCACACCTTGAGATATTATGTTAGCATTTCTAGAGTGGGAGCAAGAGTGCATTTTTAACAACCACGTATGATCCTGATTAAAGACCACACTTTGAAAAGCAGTGCAGTTCATCCTGCGCATATTACACAGTGGGCAACCAGGCCCAGAGAGGAGAAAGGATTTTCCGGAAACCGCATAATGAGTGACAGCAGTTGGAATTCCAAAACCTTGCCCTGGAGCTTAGTACTCTTTCCACCACATCCTATTTTTGTTGAAATGTTAGGACGTGGATGTAGGAGCTCTTAAAGGGTCGAGGCCCAGGGAGAACCAGCCAGGGTGTGTTCCAACCCAAAGAGGAGGCACCTGTGTTAGCTTCCAGAGGCATCAATAACTCACTTGAGGGACTTCTGTGGTGGCCCAGTGGTTAAGAATCCACCTTCCAATGCAGGGAAGACAGGTTCAATCCCTGGTCAGGGAACTAAGATCCCACATGACATGGGGCAACTAAACCTACACTCTGCAACTATAGAGCCCTCTCACTCCAACTAGAGAGAAGCCCACAAACTGCAGTGAAAGATCTGGTGTGCTGCAACTAAGACACCATCCAGCCAAAAAAAATAAAATAAATTTTAAAAAAGAAAAAAAAAAAAACAAAGCAAAAATACCTTGCTTGACTAGATGCCACAGAGTTCAGGGGAGGGAGGGAAGAGAAGGCCAGAGCAGTGACACCTAATAATTCTGGTCCCCTCTCCACCCTCCTTTGGGTCCCAGTGTCTCCATCTGTCAAATGGGGAGATGAAGCCCTCTCTTAACATCTAGGAGCTTTGAAGTGTAGCCTTGCTTAGGAATAGACTCACCCATGCCTCTTGTCTGGTATTGTATAGACCCCAAAACTCATTAGAGCACGTTACACCTGGGGAATAGGCAGAATGAGACTCTCCAACCTCAGTACAGTTATCCCTTGCTTTTTACAAAAGACCTATTTTAGTACTGGTTTTTGCTCATGAAAAGAAACCTGAAGATTTTCACTTTCACTAAAAAAGGCAAAAAGCAAAAATAGCATTCCCAGTGAGCTGTTACAAAGGCAGCTTGCACCCAGAGCTGCAAGACTGGCACCGCCATGTTCCTTCCCCAAGAACTACAAACTCAGCATCTCAGTATAAAGCCTCCATAGCCTTGAACTGTCTGTGAGCATCTGTGCTTCATTCAGATTTATTTTGTACATCCAATAGCAAGATGTATCCTAGGGTGATTGCTTTTTTGCTTTCTGCTACTTTGCCTTAGGACAGCAGGGGAAATCTGTGCTGAGATGGAGCAGCTGAAGCACAGGAAGTGACCACTTCTGGTTCAAGAAACTGGCAAGACCCAGCTCCTCTGACTGCCTCCTCTTATCTGCTGCTGCCACCTGATTGATACATTCCTTGTACTCTGGCCAAACTGAACAAATCATAGGTCCTGGAACATGACCTTAATTTCTCCCCACTTCCTGGATGCCCTTCTCTGCTGAACTCCTGTCCTCAAAGCCCAATTTAAGCAGTCGCTCCTCAAGGAAGCCTCTCTGGCCTCCCTCCCCTGACCAGTGTAGCCCTGACCCTCTCCTCTCTGATGGGGATCTAGGCTTTGTTTGGTGTTGGAGTTCATGAAGCAATTTGGAAGAAATGCCTGAATCACCTCTGTGATGGCACCTCCTCTCCCCCTTCACCAGGGGTGACACAGCATGTATTCTGTATATAGGCAGTGTCACCAATGGCCCTGAGATGCACTCAGCACGGAGTTATTGTCACTCATGGGTTCAGACTGTGAGACACGGTCATTCCTTCATTCATTCAAAGTACTTCACATCTGTTTCAGGATTAATAATCTAAGCTAGAAGGACTATGTCCAGAAAAATGCACACATGATCAAAATTTTAGACAATTTCAAGGGTTTGCACACTCCCATGTATGGTTCCACCAGTAGACCTGAAGATTTTGGTTAAGAAATGTTCTGGGACTTCCCTGGCAGTCCAATGGTTAATCTGCCTTGCAATGCAGTGGACATGTGCTCTATCTCTGGTTGGGGAAGATCCCACATGCTGTGGAGCAACTAAGCCCATGTGCCACAACTACTTTGCTGCATGCAGCAGCAAAGACCCACGACAGCCAACAAATAAAAATAAAAAGCTACATAAATCTTTAAAAAAAGAAGGAGCATTTTGAATACCTGCTATATGCAAGCTAGGGACGCACGTTCACTCATTAATTAAAAAAATACTTTGAGTGCCTACATTCTAGTGCTGGGGGCTAGAGGGTTCACTTTTTTTTTTAAATGTTGTTTTAATTTGCTTGACTAAGAGGTGAACAGGGAACAACATAAGGCCCCATGTCCCTGAGTCCTCACAGGCTAGCAGAGGCCAGACTGGGTCCAGCCCTCTCCCCTGGCCTCCATCCCCACATGGTCGCATCTGCCTCCGCCAATAAGAATGCAGGACAGAGGCTGAAGCTGGGGCAGGCAGGAAGGACTAAACTGACCACAGGGACCTTACTTACCCCTATCTTTCTGTCCTTTCACTCCCTCCCTACCTGTGACCCCCAGGCCTGCTGATTTTGTGTTTGACTAAAGGGCAGGAATTGCTGAACCAGTTGGGTGAGTCCAGTGAGTCAGAGGCAATTCAGGTGGGCAGGAGGGCAGTTGGGCAGAGGCAGAGCCAGTGGCTCTGGGACAATGGCTCTGACTGTGTGTGTGCGGCGACTAACAGGGCTGCCAGACACCTATGACCGACAAGTGAGGCTCAGCTTTCGAGGTGAGATCTGCAGGGATGCTCTGAGAAATTTTAGAAATGGGGAGCTCTGGCCCCTCCTCTCCCCAGGTCCCCCACTTCATCTCTGGGCATCTCTACAGGTTGTCTCCTTTGTCCCTGAGCCCGATGTTTCCATCTCTCTGCCTCCCTCCCTCCATATCTTCTATGGCTCTTTGAGGGTGAGTCCAGGGGGTTTGGACTCTGGGCCAAGAGGGGATGGAGAGATGATTTGTGTGTGCATAGGGGGAGGAGATGATAAATGACTAGATTCAATTCTGAGTAGGTTTTACCCAGAAAACAAGAAGAATTCACTGTGGTCAAGAGGCAGATATCGGTGAGGTGAGTGGGGTTGGGTTCTGGATGGAGAGAAGCTGATCTGTACCCCATCTGAGTTCATCCTGGGGCTGGGAGGCTTATTCCTGAATTTGGGGAGGTGGAACAGTCTCAGGAGGTGGAGTTGCCTAATGCTCAAAAGGTTAGACTCAGTATGGGACAAGTCAGGATCAAGACTGGGGAGATTAGTTCTTGACTGATAGCCCCAGATCAGCCCTAATTGGGGAGGACTGGTTCCTGGTTTAGGAGATCAGCCATGGAGTTAGCTTTCAGTTTGTTGGCTCCTACTTCAGGTTTGGAATAGGCTATGGATTTCGGGTCAGTGTCAGCCCAGCATTGGGTGTCACAAGGTTCTTCCTATTCCCAGCTCTTCCATTGGCCGCACTGTGGCTGGGGAGTGTCTGTCTGTTCAGGTGGTCAATTGCAGCCGTGTGTTCAGCCCCAGGTAGGTAGGCCTGGGGAACCAAGGATGCAAATGGGGTAGGGGGGACCTTGGGGCCATTCTCTTGGGTCATTCTTTTGTTTCATGCCGCACCCCCAGGTTTCTGGGGACACTTGTGATCTCCCTGCAGCAGCTACAGACTGCCTGGCATTTGGTGCTGCGGGAGGCCTTAGTGGACAAGAGTCTGCATGTGTCTCCAGTGAGCTCCACCAGCCCCCCAGCCTGCCACCCTCAAGCCTGAGGGTCCCTTTAGAAGTGGGTTCCATTTCTCAGAGGGGAAAACTCAGACC